AAAATTGTGTAGGAAATTGCAACAAAATTAGCTTCATTGTAATATATAATGAATGGGCACTAATGGCTTAAAGGTGATTTGGACTGTTTATCTTGAATCTATTAGGTGATGCTTGATTTTTAACTTCTAACCAATTCTGGTCAAAGTATAGTGTTTTAGTAATGTACCCATTCTTACAGTTCTGGCTCATCTGTTCTAGTCAATAGTATTTTCACAGGCAAATATGTGTGTGTGTGTATATATATATATATATAGTGTTTTATATATTATATATGTGTGTAATATATATCTTGTAGTCTCATTGTTTAAAATACTTATTTTCATTATGCAATAATAACTACTGATTACTTAATAAACTTTCAGAATTTACCTAGCATTAGCAAGGCCAAACCCAACAAAGCTAACTTAACTGTTTTAACATGACAGATATAACAGGAAAACATATTTATATCCCCTTCTCCTTTCAAAAATTACCACCATATAATACCAAGAACAGAAACGCACATAAATTTTCGCTTTCATGGGCCCATAACAGTAAAAGGGAGAAAATGGAGAGAGGATGGTTCGTAACTTAGCAGAGATGAGCAAGGTCCATCCCAAGTCCCCTCAGGTCTGAGAAGGTGGAAGACAGGCCACACATAAGAAACAGTACCCCTCATAACCTAGAAAGGGTCTCAGATACCACCAAAACGGGGCAGGTGACCAATGTGCAGTGACCAGAGTATTTGCTGGGGAAACAATCCTAGACTTGAGGACACCAGCAAAAGGAAAGTTAGGGTGAGGTACACATTGAAAATGACAGCATTAAATGAAAATCTACAATCCTCTAGGTCGGTAGCCATATCTCTCTCTTCTCAGTCCCAACACTTATATTTACACCATCTCCAGGAAACAGATTGAAGAGTCCAGAGAAAGTGAGTTTAGATACTGACATTTGGGGATGTCTAGTAAAAGGCCAGCTGGCCACCTGGTCACTTGTAGTGAGGCCCAGCAATCTACAGGCACCAGCTATATCTAAATTGCAGTGCAGCACCATTGTTTAAAACACTTTCATAGTACTGTATTAACTACTGATTGCTTGATAAACTTTCAAGAGTAATATGAGTAGTCTTAAATATGCATAATTTGCTAAAGATTGCCAGACATTTGAGGGAAACACAGAAAAGTTGGTCAGAGGAAACAGACAATTCAAGGAGGAAGCACAAAAATCAGGAAAAAAATGTTATTAATAACTTTAGAAAGATAAGGATAATGCATTAATGGTAGAAGGATAGCATGCTGCTTAAAAAAGAGCAGGGGGCTGGGGATTTCGCTCAGTGGTTCTGCCACCTGCCTCGCAAGCGCAAGGACCCCAGTTCAATCCCTGGTACAATAAAAAAAAAAAAAAAAAAAAAAAAAAGGAAAAAATGCTTATAAAGAGGAAACAACTGTATAAGAAAAGGGAAAGAAAATCAATACAAGAAGTACAACATTCCTCCAATTGGAGTTCCATTCAAATAGCACGAACAGTAGGGGAAGTGGGAAGGATAGGGAAAAGAAAAATAAATATGAGAAAATGAAAAAATGGAAATAAAGTGTTTGGAAATAGGGAAGGGAGGAGGGGGTGGGGGGAGGGCAGGGACAAGGGGAAAAAATGAGAACCAAGACCTGTCATGTAAAGGTACAAGATCCTAACGATGAATGTAACTGTACTGTCTACCTAAAATGTACCAATAAACTCAATGAGAGAGAAAAAAGAATAGCACAAACAAATACTGAAAGAAAAATAAACATAACAAAAAAACTAGAAAAATATTGTATTGAAGAAGCAAAGATTGGGTTTACCATGCAATAATGAGAACCAAGACCTGTCATGTAAAGGTACAAGATCCTAACGATGAATGTAACTGTACTGTCTACCTAAAATGTACCAATAAACTCAATGAGAGAGAAAAAAGAATAGCACAAACAAATACTGAAAGAAAAATAAACATAACAAAAAAACTAGAAAAATATTGTATTGAAGAAGCAAAGATTGGGTTTACCATGCAATCTGAATTGGAAACAATTCAAAACAATGTGATATGTTGAATCACTAGAGGAGGTTCTAAAAGAAAGAAAATCAAGTCGCATTCAAAGTATTAGGAATAAGAATGGTATAATTGTGTATTCTTCTCAAAGGCAACTCAGGAAGCTAAACACAGTGAGCCAGTGCTTCAAAATTCTAAGTGAAATTATTTGAACCTAGAATTGTTAGGCAAACTAACAAGTACAAAAATAAAGGGGCCTTTTTCAGTTATGCAAATCTACCAGAACAATCGACTTCCCCACTCCCACTCCCTATTAAAAATAATATCCTTTCTCATGAAGCCACTGAAAAGATGTACTTCTGCGGTTTGTAATAGCTATAACTTGGAAACAGCCCAATTGCCCATAAACTGCAGACTGGATAAAGAAGATGTGGGTTTTTTAAAAATAAAATGGAGTACTACTCAGCCATAAAGCATGAGGAAGATAGAGACATTTATTGCTAAATGGATGCACATTGAAGCCATACTCTTAAGTGAAATAAATAGGACACACGTGTAAATACCAAATACATGTGGTATGAGAAACTGTAAATAAGGATAAAAATATATAATACATAATGTGAAATAGGAAGAAAAGGTCTAGAGGGGAACGGGAAAGACAAAAGAATAGGTGAATGAATGAAAGGAAAGGAAAAAATATGAGAAAATGAAAAAATGGAAACAAAGTCTTTGTAAATGTGGAGGGATTGAGGGGGCTGAAGAGAGGACAGGGAAATGGGGAAAAAAATCAGAACCAAGGTATATCATGTAAAAGCACAAATCCCCATTGATGAATGTCATCAAACTGTATACCTAAAATGTACAAATAAACGTGATGAATTTAAAAAAAAAAGAAAGATATGCTTCTTAAGAAAGGAGAAACTGAGGAAGGAGAAAGACATGGGATGCAGGAGACAGGAAGTCACCCCCAGGAGAAGAAACAAGAAGCCCTGAGTGATGGTCAGGAAGCTGGATCAAGCTTCCCCCAGGACACAAAGCATCAAATCAAGTGTGACCTTTGTGGCCCTCTTTAAAAGTATTTTAAGAGACGTTTTACAGAGGTGTGTGGGATGTGAGAAGACTTGAATATCTGGGGGGAACCCTAACTCCAGAAAGTGAAAGTATTTCTGTAAGAAACAGTCATTGCTTATGAGTTGGCTCAGCAGTAAGTGGTATTTACCAGCTGAGCATCAGGAAAGCTCTGTGTATGGATTATTGGGGAGGTGGAGGGGAAGTGCAGGAATTCACTCTCACCTGCTGCCAGACATCCTCCAACTCTGGCAGAGGTACCCTGGGAGTGTGCCCCTCTCAGCCTCCTGCTAAGTAGCTTTGAGCCCTTGGGCATTGGAGGTGACCACTCTATTAGTCAGTTTCCTCCTCTGTAACTGGGGATAACAATAATACCTACTTTATAGCACCATTATAAGAATTTAATAAATTAAACAGCTGAAAGCTCTTGGGACAATGGTTGGGTACATAAGAAGGACTGTATAAGTATTCGATGAATAACTAAGTGCTAATAATGTGTGCATGTTATAAATAAATGTGATGGGAACATACCAGTTTACGCTTTAAAAATGGAACTGATTACCTTTGACAGTCAGGAAAGGGAAAAGATGAGGAACTACTGGTTACTGCTTGTAAGTCTCTTAGTGTGATTTGATTGCAGGTAATATTTTAACTGAAATAAATTGAACATAGAAAAACCAACAGCCAACTCCAAATTTTAAAATGAGGCACACACAAGGTTTGACAAGACTATTTCCTACTCCCACACAATTTGTTAACATTTCCGTTTGCTGTGCAAATGAAACTATATGTAATTCTGAATGTAGCAAAAGATTCAAGTCAATTTTCAAAAATAAAAACTACTACCACAGGATCCTGTTATTCAGTTATCTCTGCCATAAAAGCACAGCCAACTAAAGAAGAAAGTTTTCATTGCACTAAGAGATGTATCTTTCATGTATTCATCAGTGAGCATAAATTTGAAAGGAAAAAAAAAAAGCATGAAAAGTGAAGCAGTTGGATCCTCCTCCTGCCCTCTGATAAAGATTTTAATAAGTAATGAAATGGAAGACTTAGTAAAAGGGAGAATAAGGCCTTGGTTCAAGAAAATGCATAGACCTCCTTTCCCTGAGGTGCACTTCCTCTTCTAAACTAATGAAATGACCAGCAGGAACCAAAGAATCATTGCTGCTCTTGCTTCATAATTATATGAAACTGCTTCCAAAAAAAAAAATCACATCACACTTACATGTTTCAACAGCAAAGCTACCAGGATCAGAAAAAAGAACTCCAAGCAATGGATATTCCATGTGATCTTCCTCCTGGGTTGCCTAATCCTCTTCAAAATTCTACTTTCCAAGACACTCACTACCTTAATGCCTGCATGCATTTCATTTGTTCACCAGCCTAATATGAATTAAGTTATTTAAAAGATAAGTTCTAGAAAGCCGTCATGGAACAATTTGAGTACTTCTAAGGTATTCCATTTGATATAAAGGCTTTCTTTTCTTCTGCCTGCTTTCATTTGAGTGGCTACAGCATGCAGTTCAAAATTCACAATCTCTTCCAATCCCCCTACCACTTACACATTGATGCTCATCACTAAATCGTACAACAGGAAAATGTACTTTGCTCTGGGCTTTTGCCGAACTCTCCCTGGATCCGGATATACAGCCTCCTCTCTTAAAAAGAGAACAAAAATAGTCTGAACTTTGTCCTGGTTTGGCAGTGTGGACCACTGTGACAGCCAGCTAATTAATCACTGTGGGGACCTTCAGCCACGCAACTGACCACTCAACTTACTGTCGTCCAAGACAGTAGCAGTTAATCATTTCCTTAAATGATGTGGGTATGAAAACAGAGTTGATTGTTGCTCAGCTGGCTAACTTTATCCGTCCTCCCTGCCCCTGGAGTGACTGTTGCCATTTTTCCCCTTCTTCCCAGACTGCTGGGTTTCAAGAGATTCTGACGGAGGTGGAAATTTTAGCTGTGATTGTGGGATGCCTGTGTCATGACCTCGACCACAGGGGAACCAACAATGCCTTCCAAGCTAAGTAAGTGTTCTAATTGTTGTTATTTTAATGCATTTGTCTTTCTGTTCAAAGCCAAAGGTGACGAGTGCTAAAGAGTAAAGCATTAATTTCTGGCACTGGAGGCCAAGGCCATGCAGGCTTGGGTGTGCATGACACAGGGCCCATCCATCTTTATAATTCCCCGTTCTTCTTTTAATTGCAAATTTGCCCTTCATGTCATGCTTGTTGATTTGGTCTGTCTCTGTTGACCTCAGTCAGATAACAGAGCTCAGATTTTAAAGGGCCTATATTTTCCTCCCAGAATATTTGCCTTCAGGCCATAACAAGCTTTTGGGACCTGCTGCTCTCAAATCTGGTTTTCAGGTTACTCCAATAAAAGCAGTCTTAGATTTTTGATGAAGGAAAATGTCTTCCAAGATCCTTTTGATGATGGATAATATATGAACTGGAGTGAAGTAAAGCCCCATGTAACGGCCTAGTGTCTTCTCATCCCTCCTCCCATGGAAAGGTGGAAAGCAGATAAAAGAATTTCATAAATACAGTAATTTATGAATAGCCGACAGTTTGCCCTGCACATAGTCCATGGATAGAATAATCTGTCTCCAAGCAAGTTGTACTGGTCAAGATAGTCAGTGCCCGGTGGCTAAGGCCCCAGAACTCAGGAAACTGAAAATATGACCAAATCTCCAATCTCTGGACCCTTTATATTGAGGGTCCCATTTTAACATTCTTTTCACTACCAATCTGTAAACAAAACGATACAGGAGGTCTGAAGATGGAAAGAAAAGCTGTAGGGTTTGGAAGTGAGGGAAGGCTTCAAAAAAGAGATAAAATTAACTTTAAAATGACTGAATGCAAGGTCTTCCAAGTCATCTTCTATTATCTAAAGTTTCAGTGGCTTGCTGTTTGTTAACAGGCTTCTCTCAGCTTATCTCTCTCTCTGTTCCCTAAATAGCTACCCCATTGAGACACTGGAGCCCTGAGCCCTTACGTATGCTCCTGGTCTAGCAGATGAATCTTGGTTTTATGTCTTCTTTTATCTGTCCTGCATCCTCTTGTCCAGCCCTTCACCCTTCTCTTCTCAATACCCAATACGCTATAATTTCTCAACATTCTTAAGTTTCTGTGACATCTGTTCTACAAAAACTCAGCCCTGGCTCAGACTAACAATTCAATTTCTTGCTCCTCTGCCTAGGCTAGTAAAGGCTTTGGGAGACAATGTCACAGTTGTGAGAGTTTTAGACACATCCAATATATATTCTTCCAACTCGGCTGAGGGCCCAGTACTCCTTACTAATCTTTCTGTGTCCCCAGCCAGCTCTGTCCCCCATCGCTCTTAGGCAGTTTCAGGCACCAAATGTTCTCCCTTCCTAACCCACCTCCCCCACACAGTCAGCAGATCACCTCGCCTCCTACTTCACCGAGAAAATTGAGGCCATCAATCGAGAACTCTCTCAATTTCCTCCCCTGCCACCTACAAACTTACCTATCCATCCCCATCCTTTCCTCCTGCGTTCTGTCTCAGCAAAAGCGCTGTCCTTCCCCATCGGAGGCTGACCACCCCTCCCTTCTCATCCCTTCCTGTGCTCTCCCTTGGGTCCTTGTGCCGTCAGTCTCCCTCTGTCTCCCCTGTGTCTACTGGCCACTCTCTCTCGGCACTCTGCGTCCTGTTAATATGAACAGTCCTCCCTCATCTTGGAAAGTTCCGCTTTATCCCCTTCTCTCTAGCTTCTGTTGTACTTCCTTCTCGGTTAGGCTTCCTAGAGTGTTGTTTGGGTTAGTTGTCTTCACGACCCACGACTCCTGCCCTTCCACATGGCTTCCAGGTTTTTCTCACCAGAAAAACTGCCCAGTGATGTCACCACAGGCCCCTTCTCTCAAAGCTGTTGGACCCTTTTATTGTCCTTTTCTCTTTTCTCTTCTTGTCTTTATTCTTCCCTCCTTTGTACCTCTCTTCTATTTTCTAATAAGGGATTTTCATCTACCTCTGTAGCCTTCCCTCTCAGGTACTTCAAAGCCTTTCCTGCTGCCTGTCCTTCACTGCTAATGTCTCTTGATTTTCTCTTTCTTTCCCTGGCCCTTCCTGTGGAGCTTCCACCTACCTGCTCGTAAGCCCCAAATACATTTCTTTGAACCATAATTTGCACCTTATTTCCAGGCACTTATCCTGGTGCTTAAGGGATTCCTCCTGATGGGACTCCCACAATCATCTCATTCTCAGTCTCTCCCGACTCGCATGTCCCTCTGTCTCTTACCTCCATCCCAGTGAATGGACCCAACCGAAATCCGCAGGTCACTCAGCCTCCCTGAGACTCCCCTGGAGTCAGCTCCTCCTCTGTATTCTTATGTTACCTATTGTTTTTTTGCCTCTCTCTTGGGTCGCTGCCACAAACAGCCCAACTCTCCTTCATTCTGCTTGGCACTCCAGAATACTCTTTGAAATTCCAAAGCTGATCAGGTCATTTCCCTTGTCAATTTTTTATGCTTTCATAATGCCTGGCTATTCTTCTTCAAAAGAGTGCACCTCACTCTATTTTACTTGTTAGCTTATAGATGTCTCTCCCTTTCCATTAGTAGCTGCAACTAAAGAGCAGCAGGAACATAATAAGTATGCAGTAAATGTCTAATGAATGAATAAATGAGATTTTTATCATATTTTAATATTTGTTTTTCAATAGACTTTTCTGATCTATTAAATAGATGTAATTTTTTACAGGTTATTGTAAAAGAAACCCTTAAACACATAGCTTTGAGGCTGTACTAAAGATCTAGAGGACCCTGAATTGTAAACCATACAGGTTTTCATTACAGTGTCTGAGAGTTCCTTATTTTAAGTTCTTATCTTATTTTAAGTCACGTATTTTTTAGGATTCCTGTCTCTTCTACTCCAATGAGACCATTGTCAGTATATCTCCCTTTATCATTCTCTCTCCAGTCCCTCACCCTTTTACCACTTCTGCCTAAAGAAGAAATAAACATACCAGAATGTGTCTGTAAACCCAGGGTGAGCACCTTGTGGGTTCTTTCTAAGAGGCGAATGTACAGTAGTCATAGTTGGATAGGAACAACCTCTTCCTCTTCCAGAGTGCCTGTGCATATCACACTGGAAGAAGCAGCTCTTCTTGCTAATGGACCCCTCCACTGTTTGGACCAAGAGTCCACACCCCATCAAAATTGGGCCAATTGAATCTGAATGCCTGGGTCTGTGGAGTTGGATTACCGTGTTATTGAGTCTTTTAGCTCAATCATAGCTGCAGGTCCACACAGACTTGGGAGCAGGTGCTGCTATTTTGGGAAAGCTATTGTGACCATATCCTAAATGGATGGAAAAAAACAAGATGGCCAGTTTACAGAGAAGAGAGAAGAATGAAGCTGATAATCAGAGAGAAACCAAAAGGAAAGACTGTAACCCAAGAAAAAGATAGAAAAAGCAAGCTTGGTCCCAAGTTCTCCGATGGCTGCTCTTATTTCCAGGAGACTTGGCCACACTTGTGACACTTGAGTTCCCTTAGCATTCCTAGTACCACTTACCCAAACCTCTTCTTAGAAAAGATGGTGGTACTTCATATTTTTGTTTGTTTTTTGCAACAATCACAGGGACAATGAAAACTATAATTTACTTATACTTTGCTGTGTCATAAGCCCTCACCAAATTTCTATAGATATTTTTGTCTCTATTTCACAGAAGTAACTGAGCCTCGGGGAGGTAAGTAATTTGCTTAGATTCATCTACCTAGCATGTGATAGAGCAGAGTTTGCACCAAAAGCCATTTTTAATAACTGTATCATACTCCTTCCATGACTTTGTGACAGCTATTTTGGACCTTTGAGTTTCGAGTTTATTGGCTGTCTTGCTGGATATGTGAGCTCTAGAAAACTAAACTACATTTTGACAATTCAACATGTGGACCCCTAAAAATAGCAGAATTGAACTAAACCTAAGTAGTCATATTGTTCAATGTCTTAATTTTACAAAAATGAGGACTGAGGTCCCAAAATCCCCAGTCATGTGTATAATACTAAACAACTTCTATACATAAGAGATAAACATTAATCAAGTCACTGATACTGGATTTCATTTTCTTTTTTCATCCTCATGTCACGTGATCAAATTGGCCTGCTCCAATATGGTACTGTGTGTTTCCTCAAGGTGACTGACCTTGTACACATTTTACCAGCTCACGGGATGTCTGTAGCCCTGCATCTACCTAATGGAGTCACTTTTGAACTTAGAACACAATGGCAGGACTACCTAACCTAAGATTTCCTTTGACAATAAATCCTGAATGTGACATTTTTTATATCACAGTGAAGGAACTTACTCTTATTGATTGGATTTAGATTCATTCAGTGAGTTTACTATTGTTTAGAAAGTCCCGAGGAAGAAACTCCTTTCTCCTTTTTTATTCCTAGTAATTGAGTTCAAGGCCCTGTGCTAAGCATTGTGGAAGAAATCAAGAAGTATAGCAAATAATCCCTTTTCCTAAAGTAGTCAGTCTATTTCCACCCTTTTAAGTGTTTTGGAAATGGAATTTAAAGGCACCAATTATTATGTGCCAAAGCATATGCTACCTTTTTTCATATATAAGGCTATAAAGAAACAGGAGACATTTAGCAAGGGACAAATTACTATATAAAATGCAAAATGCCTCTATAATAAAAAGTGTGACTTTAGTTAAAGCACAATTTGATTTATACTCTTAGCCTTTCTGATGAGTGAACCTTTGCGTTTTCATATTTTATTCTTAATTTGTGAGTATTTGAGTACGTGTAGTGAATGATCAGTAGGCAGAGAGGGCAAGAGTACCACAATGCTTTAAAACCGCTCTTTCACACCTCTCGCATTTTCTCCAGGGACAATGTTCCCCACTCATCCCCTCCTCTATTACAGCTGCCCCTGATGATTAAATATCAGCACCGAGCAGCTCTGTAGTATATTCTCTGAGGAGACTTCTTCTATTCATTTCTAGCATAATCTCTTATCCTCATTTCTTGGGAATGAAAACCTATCTTGTCGCTTTCAGCCAGGTCCCAGAAGTGAAATACTGGGGCACATTAATCTGCCATGACAGCCTAATCCCATTCCTCACCACCTCCCAACAATTCTCCATTTCCTAATTACCTCTCACAGTTTTCCTTCCTAAAGCCTCCGTTAAGCCAGGTCCATACTCTGCCATTAAGTCTTTTTTCCCAAAGAACATGCACATCGAGGGAAGTTATGAAGGTCATTTCAATCTCTGTGCTGAGGGTTGTACAAGGATCTGTGCCTGAGCAAATCACTGAATGCCTGCAGAAAGAAATCTTCACTTTGACTTTTCTTTTTAACAAGTTTCTCCTCGGTACATCGCCTGTTCAAAAAAGACAAACTAGTGTTTTGGATGATCAAGACAATACTCATCATGAATACCTACATATATAAATGCACTAGGTTTCCACTCCCCATAAACACACCTTACCTATCCATAATCATACTTACACAAACACAGTACCTGTGCCTCAAAAACCACTTATCTGATGCATATATTAGCTATAGACAATTAAAATGAGGTGTTGTATTAAAATCACTATTTTCCATATGTGATTAGTTTGTTATCATTTAGTTTTGGTGGTTTTCTTTTCTTATTTTATGTGAAATAAAACAGAAGTAGACCTTTACACAAACTATATTTCAAGAAAGACACAGCTTCTTTAAAAAATAGTTTTGTGATCAGTTAAGGGTGAATGCTTCATGTTTAGTTCCCCTCCGACAGAGTTTCAATGCACATTTACACATATTAAAGCCTCTGGAAAAATCTTAAAATAAACAGTTTAAATTTTTAAAGCCAACATTTCCCAAACTTGTTTGACCATGGAACCCTTTGAATTTTTGCCATTTATTCCTTGTGGCATTCCAAGGAACCAGTGCTCTGTAGAATACTTTTCAATAAGGCTTATTCTACCAGATAGGTCTTACTTTTTTCTAATTGTGTCAGGTTTTACAGCTGTGGATTTTGCTCCTTCCCGGTGGTCCTAGGAAGTTCGCAGTACATAATAATAGGTATAAGCAGCCCTGTCAGTGAGCCTTAGCCTGACAGAAGGCACCAAGAGATTTGGACGTATTAGAAATGCAGACAGGAGGTCCGGGGATTTAGCTCAGTGGTTCCACTGCCTACCCCACAAGCTCAAGGTCCCGAGTTTGATCCCCAGTACCAAGAAAAACAAAAAAAAAGAAATTCAGACAGGAGCAAAACCTAATAGTTTACACGAGTGATCCATACAGAAATGGAAATGCTCCTGCTTAAATGATTTTACTGTAGAAAACTCAGAGTAAGCCCCACACTCCATTCTCTGGATGTCCATAGTGGCACCTAGCTTATGGAAATGTAAGCATTTTTAATGTAAGACTGGTCAGAAATCCTCCCCAACACAATTATAAGGGGCTGTGAGCTTCCTGGAAGTAAGATCCAAGTCTGAGGTATCTTTGTCTTCCACAGGGGTCTAGCGCAATGGTCACTGATGCTTTTTGGTTGGATTGAATGAATGGATGGGTGGATGGATGGATGGGTGGGTGGGTGGGTGGGTGGGTGGAAAGCAATGTTTTCCTCCGCTTTCGTAGCATTAGTCTATTTCCATGACAAAACTTGCCAATTTCCTGTGACTAATGCAGTATTGTGAAAGGGCAGGCCGTGTAGAATGGAATTACTGAAGGCAACAAAGAGGGAATCTGATGAGGAAGCTGCTTAAACCATGGACAGTCACATGCCTGCTTTTACATAAACTTTACCCCAAGAGTCCTGAAGAAGCACAACAGTTCTGAAGCCACAGAGAGGGAGAGAAGATGGCAGGGGAAGCATAACAGTGCTTGTTATAAGGTGTCCCCTGGTTGAAGGGGAAAAAATCTCCTTATTCATCCTGAACAAAGAAAATTTAAAGTGACTCGTGATCATCTAACTGATTTAACTCTCACGGGTTCTACTAAACCAGTGCAAATAAAGGAAGAGATAACAATTCTGCATCTTGTCTCTCCAGACTCTCATCACGAACTGTGTTATCAGGATTCCCACGAGTGAGTGAATTGTATTCGAGCATGGCTGGTTGGTAGAAAAGAACCTGAGGTTGTGGGAACCTGAGACTGTGTCAGCACTTACACTAGTAGAATTCTGAGTTAAATTTTAAAATCTTCTTTCACTGCTGACAACCAGCTCAATAAAAATGGAGAATCAAACATCAGAAAGGTTTGTTATAATTATCATTCTTCTGAGGTAATAAGAAGCTTCCAAACTTGGATTTAAATCTAGATTGATACTCGCTGGCTGTGTGACCTTAAAAAAGTTGTATAACTTCTCTGAGCTTTCTCTGGTGTGTAAAATGAGAAAATAATACTTCCTATTTTGTAGTTGTCATCAGGACTACATGAAAAATAGCACAGTAGGTGGTTGATATATTTCTTAGTGCATGAAAGGCATATTTATACTGTCGACCTTTCAATTTAACTAGTCTCCAGGCATACGACTAGAAGCTTATTCACTAAACAACTAATATTCTTAAAAGCATCTACTCCATGCCAGGTGGTCAGAATTTCACTGGCCAAGACACAATGTGTGAAACATGTATTTTTGTAGAAATGAACTCTATGTACGATGTAGAGTAACTAGCATTAACTATTAAGTCATCACTAAGGCTGGTCTGGCCAATTTTTATTTATTACTTATTAGTTGATATTAGGTAAGGCACTATTTTTAAAAATAACACTGATTAAAATCCCATACCCTCCTCACTTAGCTTCATTGTAATCCCTGATAACCCTAACCAGCCTTTCAGTATGTGGTGAGCTCTGAGTCTTTCCAAGGATCGCAGTCTTCTGACTACAGCCTTGGGCTGCTTCACACCGGTGAAGAGTAGCGTGGGACAGAAATTCCACATATTACATTCATATGTCATCTTTTCCCTTCTTACTGCACTAGTAGGACTCCAGCATTTACAGTTGAAGGCCAAATTGTCCTTTCCATGTCCAGACCCACCTGCAATGAACAGGAGAATACAGAGACCTGGATATGTCCTCAGCCTGAATCCCAGGACTTTTGGGGGGTTTGTTTGTTTGTTTGTTCTTGGTACCGGAAATGGAACTCAGGTCCTTGCGACTGCTAAGCAGGCAAGGAGTCCCTGAGCTAAATCCCCAGACCTCGGGACTTAAATCTGTGGGATTCTCTGGGTCTCTCTTGATTCTCAACATGGTCTGATTCTTTCCAGAAAGGAAGCTGGAAACAGATGTTCCTGGAAATTTTAAATTAACACTTTAGTGACCTGACATTGTTGAGGGATGGGTTGTTCCATGTAAACAGAATTTACCTGTAACTCAAAGAAATCCCAGCACATATCTATTAATATCTTATTGATTTTAAATGGAAGTATCCATATGTGTCTTGACTATTAATTAATAACATAGGCTGAAATCTTCTCCAGGCCAGGCACTGTGATAGATACTTTAAAAGATTTTATTGCAATCTCATTAATAACAGGCAAGGTATGGGGCCGGGGATTTAGCTCAGTGGTTCTGCTTGCTGCCTGCCTCACAAGCGCAAGAATCCAAGTTTGATCCCCGGTACAAAAAAAAAAAAAAAAAAGAAAAAAGAATAACAGGCAAGGTACATAGTACCATCATGTTACAGATGAGGAAGCTGAGCCTTGAAGAGGCCAAGGAACTGTCCCAAGCTGCTACGTAGAGGCAGCCTTGAGACGCACCTCCAAATCCAGGGAGCACTACAGAGTTCAATGTGAGTTATAGTGTGACTGTGGGAACCTAACAGAAAGTTGTCACCATAAGTAAAATAGATAAAGTAGATTCTGCAGAATATTCAGGTTTGTTTTCCTAAAGAGGGTCTAATGCATTTGGCATGAGAGTGCTCTGGACACTCAGAAGACAGAAGATTTAGTTCATGACAGTTACACTGTTACTCAGAACCAGAAATTGTCTTTTTTTTTTTCACCCCACAGCACCTAGATTGGACCAGAAACACTATTGTGCAATGCATTTGTATTTATAGTTATGTTATTTTTTCTTATGCTTATATCTCAGATTTCTTAATAGACTATAAATTTCTTACAGGCAAGGACTGTGCTTTGAAAAACACTTCGTTGCTAGAAGGAAAAGCAGTTCAATCCATAATAGGTTTGGGGGAAGGTCCTGCTCACTCTGCCTTTTGTCCTCTTTCAGGAGTGACTCCGCGCTTGCCCAACTCTATGGGACCTCGGCTACCTTAGAGCATCACCATTTTAACCATGCCGTGATGATCCTTCAAAGCGAGGTACAGCCTGCTCCATTCCTCCCCTTGCCAGAAGACCACCAGTCTGGTTCCTACCTCTCTCTCTTTATAGTTCCACGGGCAGACATGGAGAAGTGGGAAGTACATGCCTAGGTCAAGCTACTGGGTCTTGGTGGCTTCCACGAATCTTTAAAATGCCTGGCTGAGGACCTTGTTTAAATTCTTCCTGAGGTGACTGAGCTGGGTTTCATCCAATAATGACATGGTTCATTTAGAGGTTTCGCTCACAGGGGAACGGGTATGGAGTGCTTGCTGCCACATTTCCCTCTGATTTTCCTAAAGGGACACAGAAGCTCACAAAGGGAGTGACTTGATCCAAGTACTGAAGGGCCCAACATTGCCATTTTTGTGAACCCCAAAGCCATTCTAAAAGATGGTAGAAGCAAAAACCTGGTGAGAGAGTTACACTTTATTTATTTTGCACAATAGCAAAACCTATAAAAGGTAAAAGAATTTAAAATTGCTGGTGGGGGCCAGTTTAAAAGTTTGAACTGCAGCTAAACCTAAGACCCGGGGCTAAGGCCGTATGCCTTATTTTGCTTCCTGTGGCAGTGCAGGAGTTGGAAGTAGTTTGGTTTTATACTTGCAGTTTTCTGCAGAGAAAAACAAAAACGAATAACTGACCCTGGCTGAGGCATCCGAGTTTTAAATTGCCAGAAAAGGATCTGTTTAATTTTCTGCAGGCGTACAGAGATTTTTTTTCCCAAGGCCAGGAAGGGATCATCTGTTCCCCATTATTTGTCAGTTCTCTAACTGTGCCATTAATTATTATTATTATCATCATTAAGGCCCTGCTTCACTGGAATAGCATCATTAAATATGGAGGTTTTTTTCCTCCAGCCTATGTTGAGAAAGCTTTTGCAACATCATCATGAAAGCCTTCGACCCCATAAAGGATAGTCCCCGCTCCAGAACCTGAATGCAGGCAGAACAGGGCACGCCTGCTAAGGGTGATGCAGTTTCGATGGTGAATGAAGCACCCAGGGTGAGGCTCTCAGTAACGGACAGAAGCCAGCTTCATGGCATCTGTGGCTCTGGAATTTTCCTAGAAAAGCAGTATTTTATCCAGGCTCTGTGGAAGAGGTTAGGAGTTAGGAACTTGGGTTCAGACTGTATTTGTTGCGCTGGCAAAGTCAATGAGTTTACACCTCTGACCCCAGAAAGCCCCATCTTTGTCATAACGAGGGTTATAAACAGGATGTCAGGTTTCCTCAGGGAAACAACCCCCACGCCCTCTGAGTGAGCATGACACATAGGCCCCCTTAGCTCTGGGCTCTGAGGAGTGGCAGAGAGGCCAGTGATAACAGAATCATGCACTCCGACTGCTGTGGTGCCCATGCACAGAAAGGCTAGATGGCTTGAGGAAGGTTCCTCCAGGCCTCTCCTCTCCACATTTGTGGTTGTTTTCATCATTTCCACGTTCCCTTCTTTTCTAAATAGCCTTAGAAACAGAACTTCATGGAGACTCAGCTTTACTGCATGGGACCAAATCCTGAGACATTGTGCAAGGCCAGTTGACATATAAACAATATCCTGATGCATATTAATTTTCCTGGAAAATTAAAGCAGATCTGGCTAGCTTTGTGAGTGTGCTCACTGGAAATGGAGTTAGCTACTTAGGTCTTTTAAAAGTACTAAAATGCATGCCCTCACAAAATAAGCAATTTTGGACTAGTTTACCCTTTGTCTAAACATTAACTTTTACTGACCTTGCTTCTCAGGGCTATATTTCTTTTCTTTTCCATTTTTTTGTTTGTTTTGGTACTGGGGATCGAACTTGGAACCTTGCACTTGCAAGTCAGGCCGGGGAACCACTGAGCTAAATCCCCAGCCCTTCAAGGATGTATCTCTTTTACCAGACGATGCTGAATATAGGCCTGGATCTAAGCTGATTATTTTTCTATAATTTTTGGCCACTTTTTCAAAGGCCTCAGAATACCTATTTATGACTGATCCATGGGGCAACACTCAGGCAGAAAGATCTGGGCAGAATTATGGTGCAGCATTCCTTTAGTTGTTTGTCTTCTTCCTAATGGCCGAATTAAGGGTCTGAAAGAGTTCATTTGAAAATTATTAATACTGGACTTGGTCCCAGGGGGAACCAATATACTCTCGTCTTTAGTAATGGCAGGTTCAACCAGTGAGATAAATTAACTCAGGGGAGCCGATTATTGTGTGGTGCCTGGTAGGAGAATTTACTAATTGATATTTCTGGTTCCTTGAAAGAATTAATTTACCTCTCGCTGGAGCGTACTTTATTATCAGACAGTCATTTGCCCCTACTCCACCATCTTCTGGCTCTCAACACTCAGTTTAAAAAGGTCCATTTTTCAGGCCACATGCTTGTAAGTTCATACTTTATGCTAAGAAAATCTGACTTTTAAAGAAGAAGAGTAAGTGAATTGTTGATCACTTCACAGAAGGATTTTCACTGTATTTAAAAAAAAAAAAAAAAGACAGTGAAGCTACCTAGAGAAGCTCAAACAAATTTTGAAGAAACAAACATATTTTTCATAGGTTTGGATAAAAAGTTTATAACTGCAACTTTATGTAGGCAAAACTAAGTTATTCTGTGCCAAAAACAATGCCTCATATGCCCTGGCCACTCAGTAATTATTCACCATACTGAATTTAATCTACCACATGCTTCATCAAAGTTTATCCTAACAGTTTGATGTGCAGTCTCTTGACTTCAGCTGCATTGACAAGTTAAGACAGGGAGACTTTTGGTTTGTTATTTGTTTCTTTCTTTGTTTGGGTTTTCTTTCCTTCTTTCTTGCTTGCTTGCTTGCTTGCTTACTTGAGACAGGGTCTTACTATGTAGTTCAGGCTGGTTTGAGCTCACTGTTTAGCCTAAACTAGTCTTGAACTCATGAGATCCACTTGTCTTAGACTCCAGAGAGCTGGGATTACAGACATGCACCACCATGCCCACCCTAGAGAGGTCTTTGGGTGGGACCCTCCTGTGCACTGTAGGGTGTTTACCAGCATCCCTGGCCTTTCCCATTAAATGCCAGTAATGCCCCCACCTAATTGTGACCATCAAAAATGTCTCTAGATATAGTCATAAGTTCCCATTGAGACTCTTCCCAGTTGAAAAGCACAAGTCTAATGGCTTTTTCTCCTGTAAGTCATTTGACACCATGACAAGAATTTCCAGAATGTCAATTAAATTATAGTAGGGTCACAAAACTTCCCAAATGTTGTTTCAAATTCTCCACTATCTACTTCCATAGGAAATGGGTAGTCAGGTGGAACTTGTTGGCTCAAACATTCATATTAAAACAAGTCCAAACATTTTCAGAGCTTTTCCTTTGACAATACTATGCATGTGATAAATTGTTACTCAGTGGACCTCCTTAAAAAAATTCATTTCCTGGCTTCTCAGTGTTTGCCAGGCAATCTATTTGTATTTGTACAAAATTTTATTAAGTTTTTTAAAAATGATTATTGTGTTCCCAGATCTTTAATTTTCAATATAGGAAAAAAATGTAATCAACAACCAAGATTTAATGATGTCTTTTGTGACTTTTTACTTTCTCATTACAGGGTCACAACATCTTCGCTAATTTGTCCTCCAAGGAATATAGTGACCTTATGCAGCTTTTAAAGCAGTCAATATTAGCAACAGACCTCACGCTGTATTTTGAGTACGTATTGGCATTTGATCTATTTGACAAATGGATATCTAAAGTTCCTATAATTAATTTTCAGGTCCATATCAAGGGTTGCCTGTTATTCTAGCATTGATATAAATATGTAAAAGGGCTAATTTTTTTAATATTGTTTCTCACTTACCTAAATGAAGTTCTTTAAGGTTGTGTGAATAAAAGATGAGATTTGGGGCTATCTTGGGAAGTTTTCCATCTTTCTTCTGTTTCATGAACTCTGAAACTCCAGGCTCTGAAACTAAGTGATGGTTATTTATATTTTAGATACTGCCTATGATCACTGTTTTCAACTATTATTTCTGATCTGATCTATAATAGTGTTGATATGGTGATCATGATGATGATGATGATGAAATTTATTTTGATGGAAAGTTGACTAGAAAGCTTTCATTCATTCCTTGCTTCTCTTCTATTTCTATTTCTTAGAAGATCTGTCCCCCATCTACCTACAGTGCAACCCTCTCTAAGCAGAGAACTCCGCTCCTGCCAATCCCAGTGGGACCTGTGCCATCAGGTACCAACTCTTTGGGAAGCTTGGAAATTTCTTCCTCTTCTTCCACTGATGTACACAGTCATCTCCTGTGCACTGTAGGGTGTTTACCAGCATCCCTCTCTTAAAGACTAAACAACTTCTGTCCCTTAAAAATTATTTCATGGATCTCAGGGAGATCTTTAATTGCTTCTCAACTTGGCTTTATTTTACCATTTTTTTAAAACAAATGGAGCCCATTGGTTCCTCTGCTTTCTTTAAACCCATTTACACTTTGGGGAGCAGAATCCACTTCAACATTCCACAGAAACTGTACTCGCCGCAGCCCCCAAAGATTGCTGATAGTTTCTAGTTTTGTTTGAGGTATCTGAAGGTGTACTGACCTCTCATTGTCAGTTTCCGTTTTGCTTTCCCGATATCCAGTTTTCTTTATCTCTCCTTTTCAGATCTTTTTTCTCCTTTTTTCCCACCACCAGTTCTTGAACCCAGGTTCTTCTCTCTCTACTCAGATTCTCTCTCTAGCCTCACTTCTGTATTCTCTTGACATGGGTTATTACTCTATGTAGAAGATTGAAATTCTTCACTTTAACCCCACACACATTCTAGTCTGTATCTCCAGTTTCCGTCTCTAGAACCTTCAGTGATTAGAAATCTCCACTGATTTCTAAGAAAGCTGTAACTTCTGCTTGATTTTCGTGTCCCTCCATAATCTGGCCCAGCTTTTTTCATTTCTATCTTCCACTTCTCCTTCACGGGATTTGTTTGCTTCAGTGAGACTGGTTTACACACCACCCTTTGAAGCATGTATGTAGTGTCCCGCGTGCCCCAGTCATACCATTGTTCCTATGTTGGGCCCTGTCCCTCCACTTCCACAACTAGTTGAGCGAACCATCCTTTAGGTTTTACTTCTTCTGTCACTTTTTCTAGGATATCTCACGTCAATGCCTTTGAAATATTACGGGGCTTTAGCATTGCATCAGTTAGAATTAGGCTCTATTACAAGAGACCGAAAACTCCGAGCAACAGTGACTCACTTCTCTGTTACATAAAAGACATCTTCAGCTTAGCAATCTGAAACTGGTACAGTAGTTATATGAAGTCGTCAGGGACCCAGGCCCCTTCTACCTTTTTTGATGCTGCCTTCAATACATGTTTTCCACTGCTTAGCCCAAGATAGTTACTCAACTATAATGCCCACAATCCAGCAAGAAGGAAGAAGGAAAGGACAAAGGAAAAAAAAAAAAGGTGACGCAAGCTATCACCTATGAGAGTTTTCTGGAAGTTGCCACCTAACACTTCCACTTACATTCCACTAGTCAGAATTTAGTCACTTGGCCATACCTACCTTGAGGGAATGTTGAGAAACTCTTACTCTTGTGTAGCCATGTGTCCAGATAAAAACAGAAATTCTACTACTAAAGAAGAAAGAAGGCAGGTGTGGGGCTGTACCTGGCCCCCTATACCATTCCGCAGGCTTCACTGTTAGAGTCCATGAAGGGGTTATTACAAGATATGGTGGGAGGAGTTAGGCTTTCAGCCTCACTCTGGCATTCAAGTTAAACCTGGCGTATTGAGCCCAAGTGTCTGTATCTTCTCCCTCCTAAAACTCCTAGAAGTAATAATAAATGTAAAAAAAAAAAAACACATAAATCTATAAATCTTCAAAGAGAAAAGGAGAGGGCACACAAGTGACAAGAGCTGTCAGTACATTTTTGGAAGTGAAAGGCAGACTGATGGTGACCTAGCAGAGTAGAAATAGAAGGCATGACCCACAGCAGACAGCGCTGAGCAGAGCAAGCCAGTTTGTTCCGCGCTGCCTGGCTTGGAGAATAGAGACCAAAAACAAAATGTATTCTGAAAGGTGTGTGTGACGCTGAAAGCCCAAGACAAGGAGCTTGCTAATGAATGAGTTTACTGAGCCCTCTGAGCTCATGAAGTCCTCCACCAACATGGTCAGGTCAGCCCCCTTTCCTTTACCCCTAAAGACCAGAGGTTCATTCTATGGAGAAACAGAAAGAAGGGCTCTGGACTAAGGAGAAATACAGGGTGGAAATAAGGTGTAGCGCTCAGCAGGGCATTCAGCGTGGTGGGGGGTTCAGTGTGATGGACCCAGTCTCTGTGTCAAACACCCATAGTGCAGAGTGCAGGGATCTCTAAGGCACATCCCTGGGGCTGTCAGATTAGCAAAGAGAAACACAGAAAGCCCAGGCAAATTTTAAATTTCTTTTCTTTTTTTAAATTTTAAATTTGTGATAAACACTAAATGCTTGTTTTAGTGTACATACACACATGCACATGCCTCCCCACACCCCATGAAATATTTGAAACATATGTGCCTTAAAAATGTTTCATCTGAAATTCAAGTTTAACTGAGCTTCCTGGATTTTAGGTTTATGTAAGAATCTACCTCCTCAGCATGTTCATGCGTATACACACACACACACACACACACACATACACACACACCCCTCCTAGTTAACCTTTTAATTTTTTAACTCCTTACTATTGCATATAAACAGGCAACCAAATATTGCAGATTTTATTAACCTCCAATAAGACAAACAGGGGCCAAAAAACTGCTGCTACTATCCTTGCAAAACTAAGATATTGCTTCTATTAAAAAAAAAGAACAGGATGCTTTAAAAAATAATAGAAGCAGCCATGAAGAAGAAAGAGCTCTTGAAAATTAAAAACATTCTTGCCAAAATAAAAGCATTGGAAAATATAATCAATGGATAAAAGTCAGCAAGGTGGAAAAGATGCTGTTTATAATTTCATTATATGTCTTTTAGTAATTCTAATTATATATATACTTATTTATATTTCTTGGGTAAATATAAATTTTAATATCAGATGTATGCTTGAAAAATAAAAATCCCAGCTGTGCTGCTACCTAGCTGAGCCACTTCATGTATAAAATGGAAATTCTATCTTATGTGTCCAGTAAGTCGTGACACCCACAACCTCATTTGCTTTAGAGCCCATGTATTTCTCACATTTTGTGGCCCTCACGTTGGCTTAACTATCGTGACCTTCCATCTTTCTCTGGATTGATAGTCCTTGATTTGGAACTTACGGAAAGGCTATATCCTTTTAATATTTTTATTTTTATTTCTTGCTTTTGATATTTGCAGGATTTTAGGTTACTTCTCCCAAAGTAGAAATGTGTTCCCAAGCCAATTTCCAAGTAATTTTTGTGTGCGCACTGTGTATGTGTGTGTGTGTGTGTGTGTGTGTGTTACTGAGGATTGAATCCAGAGCCTTTGCATTTTATTTTATTTTAGTTTTTATTTTGAGACAGGGTCTCACTAAGTCACTAAGTTCTGAGTAACTTTTAAAGAGGAAAAAACAGGTCTCAGCACTTGGAGTCCATTTATCAAGCCCTGCTGGGATGTGAATAATCACTGAGTGACTGCTGGGATGCAGTCGAGGAAGTTAGTTGCAAGTCCCCTTCTCATTACTCTGTTCTTATCTTAATGCTGCAGCCCCAGCTAATGTTTGCTGACTCCCACAGAAGCTGGCCTGCTCTCTTTTTGTCATTGTTATTGTTCTTTAAGGTTCTCAATAACTGTTCATTCTCTAATCTAGAGCTTTGAGGGACTGATTCACTCCTTGTCCAAAGCTATGCTAAGGTATTGTCATCCTTTTACCCAAATCCCCGGATTCATAAAGGGAAAAGTAGCTACTAAGCACTGTCACCCAGATGCTTTTATGTAACAAACACATAATTGTGGTATTGGAAGAGGTCTTAGAAATGATGTCATCCAAGTCATCTCCTTTATTTTGCAGATCAGGCACTGAGGCCCAGATGGTTAAATAGTGCAGATTGGGCTATATAACTAATTATTGGCAAGGATGAAACCCATACCTCCTCTTTTAGGGTTTTCCCCATAATCACTATATTCCCTATTAAACAGAATCAAGAAATACATGTTATTTGAATTAGAGATATATTGTATGCCAATATTGACCCTCCTAGGTGTGCTTTAATGCATTAAAAATAAAAACCAGCCTAGGTTTCCATGCCCTGCTCCCAAGCACAGTTGGACATAAGGGCTTGCCTATAGTTTATTTAGTTTAGAGAATAAAAGGGAGAGTTGCTGGAGTAAAATGGGGAAGCAGCAAAGACATTATAAGGACGCATTTCCCTGTTGACCACTGCTTTGGCCAGCTGGCTTTGAAGGACCATCTGAGAAGTCTCATGTGCTGCATCAAAAAATTGTTTCCCAGAGCTGGGGATTTAGCTCGGTGGTTCCACCACCTGCCTTGAAAGCTCAAGGACCTGAGTTTGATCCCTGGTACCAAAGAAAATAACAACAAAAAATTGTTTCCCAGCCCCATCCTCATCAGGTGAACTTTGCTTTCTGGGGTGTTGACTCCCATGGACTTCAGGCTGCATGTGACCAAAGACTAGGGAGTCAGAGCCATCCTCAGACCTCCACATAGAGTCAGAGCAGGCCAGGGCCGAAAATATGAGGCACCCGAAGCA